AAAAACCACACACAATACAACACGCTTTCACATTTACGTGCTAAAACCAATAACACATTATGGCAATCATATGTGATGTTTATGATCTTTAAATTAAATGATAATCCAAACTTTTTTTGGCCCACACATACGCAAAGGATCATTAGGCAGACATGTTGTATATTCTACTACTAAATATCTAAATGATCGAGACCTCTTTTTTTCTGTATTATCTTAGTCTACTGAGTTTATATTTACACACAATGTTGTAGCCCTGATAATTGAGTGATTTGTGGTCCCTGAAATGCATTGTATGTAGCACCTTGTATACCTTTGCAATAAAACCTTTTTTTCAGCTCTAGAACTTTAGTGTGGCACTTCGATCTTCAGATTCAAGTGATAAAAACATGAAAGTGGTTTTAACCCTTGCTTATTTTATTTGGAACCAAAAAATAGCTTTAGGTACACTTTTAAAGTTTTGTTATAATAAACTTTATTTAACAGGTAACAATGTGTTGAGAAAAACTTTTTTGGGCAATCATAAAATGGCATTCAACAAATAAAAGAGTATAATAGTACAGCAGAGGTAAACTAAGCTTTACTTCCAAGATAAATTAGATAGAATACAAGTTAACTGGAGATTCTAGCTAAAGTTGATGTTGTTTCTGCCTGATTTAGGCTACAGATTCAGAAACAGTATTTATTCTTCCCACATTAAGTTGATGCTTGCCCTGCAAAAACAAACTTTTAAAATTGCACTTAATGGTTATTCATTGTATTTAGTTTCGCTGTTCATATAAATCCTTGGGAAATTGTTCTGTTTCAGATATTATCTATTGGGCAAATACTATTTAATTGCAGTTAACATCTCTGCAATCATGACAATGTAAACTGCTGAATGTTGAAAGGTTGCCTGAACTTGCTGAATATGCATCACATATAATTTGCTGTTTCCATAATTAAAATAACTCTTTGCAGACAGCTGCACAATTAATTGCAATAGCTATTATCTTTGTAGTTTTTTTTTTTTTGTAAAATATTTTTATAGTCAGGCTTACATTTCAATGGCTTGAGAAAGTGTCAAAGCAGAGGGGAAATAAAATTAAAATATTGGAAACAATTAAAATCTTTATATATGTCAATTAACCAAATTTACAGTCTTTTGTTTTCAGTCATTCTAAGCAAACTGATGGACTTGCACTGGGAAAAGCTTTAGAGCCAATTCATACAATGTGCGGTGGCAGACATTTTACTACATTGTAAAATGTCTGTCACCGCAAGGACACACAGGAAACAATTGTCTCCTATGTTTCCCATTCGCACTGCAGTGTGCTGCAATAAAATGTAGACATTTTGCATTTTAGAGCAGTGCAATCTGCCGAATCGCATGGCACTGTACAGCACCGCAGCGCATCACGCTGTCATACATTGCCACAAAAGAAATGTACATTTTGTACACTTCAAATAAAGTTTGTACAAAAAAAAAGGAAGCCATGTGATACGCTGAGTCACACACCACACTGCCCCCTACCTCAGCTAGCAATGGACAGCTGCCAGAATGGCAGTTGTTTTGTGAATCCAGCCTTAAAGTACAATTGTGTGACACACGTGTGGTAGAAGCAGCATACACAATTTTATAGTAAACAAATATGCCTGTCCTATAAACCGTATCTAAATATTTGGAAACTGTATATGTTGGGAAAAAAAACAGTTTTTAAACATTGAATCCCATCAGAACCTTCAAATGTACAGTATGTCAAGGCAAAACTGTTTTTTTATTTTTTTTTCATTTTTTTGCTTGATAAGCACCGTTGGCTACAGACGGCAGCGCTGGTCAGTGTTTTCTGGTGGTGGGGAAGTCTCCCTGCTCTTAGAATACAAAAGTTTAGTGGGGAGGATTCCCCATCCACCTCGATTGTGTGGAGGGGGAAACCTAGTCATTTTTTTTGTTCAACAAAAAAATAGAATCATTCACAGTATGGGCTGCCTGAGAGTGTGTGAATAGGTGCAGGAACTACCCCTTCTGAATCACTTCTTATCACCACCCACCTCTGAGCACAGTCTCTTGGTTCCACCCCTACCCACCCCCAGTACCACTCCTTATAGAGAATACACAGCCATGTATCATTTTGTGGTAATAATTTTTTAGGGAATTTGTTAATGATAACAAGAAAACCAATAAAATAGATCCCCTGCAGCCAGCAGGAATAGATCCCCAAGCAACAAAATACTACCCTAGCAACAATAGACACCCACCAGCAACATCAGATCTTCAGGCAGTCAGCGTCAATAGACCATCCAGCAGCCAGCAACAATAAGACCCCTTCCTTAACAGTAGATCCCTTCCAGCAACAATGGATCCCCTGCCATCAACAATAGACCTCCCCAGCAACAATAGACCACCATGCAAAAATAGATCCCCTCCAGTGACAAAATATCCCCCAGCAGCCAGGGGTTTGCTGAATGAGGATACTAATAAGCTGGGGATCTACTGAACAAGAGTACCAATGAACTGGGGATCTGCTGAACAGAGGTACCATTAAGCTGGGGATCTGCTAAGTGAGATACTACTGGGCTGGGGTTCCAATGGGTCCCTTTAAAGCAAATTGAAAATCAACACACACACAGGGCATTTGCCAAGCTTCATTAAAGCTTCAAAAAAGCTCCACTGAAGCATCACAGAAGTATCAAAAACATATTTAAAAAAAAGCATTTTGAAGCGTTAGATGCTTTAATTTGTGTTTAAGTCAAATGCAAGTGTAAATGAGCCCTAAATGTATTTTGAATCTGTTTATGTAAAAGAAAGCCTGCTTTATATTGTCTTTGACAGTTGCAATGACTACTATGCAACCTATTGAGTCTAGTATTTAGTTTCTTTATATGCACTTTATTTTTTCATTACAAATATATTGTGATCTGTACTGCTGTCTATGTCAAAGCTTTAATAAAAATCTATTTAAATTGGGAGCTGTCAGGGATGCTTACCCTTCTTTACACAATCTAAAAACTGTGAAAAAACTTTTAGCTGGACATACACTTGAATATTTAATAGTAGGATGCAGTCAAGCTGGCTGTAAGGTAAAGAATGTGTCAGGGTTTTTCTAAAAGTGTTAGTGCTATAGCACAATGTTTCTTGAACTAGTTGTTGGGACACACGCTGGGTCACAGATGTGCTTTTTATGGGTTACCACATGATTTTGTAGTATAGGTAGCCTAGTTTGTTTAAAACTGATGGAAAGTAATACAGCACACTTTATTTATCCATGTTTTAATTGGTATACTATTGTGATTAGAGATGTTGCCTATAAACATTGCACTTAATGTATGACAGGAAGTGTTCACTTCTATGGAAAAAACTTAAAGTGGTTGTAAAACCTGGTGATTTGGGTGATACACAGAGATGAAACAAATCCTCCTACATAAGTTGTACCTGTTCATCTGTGGTCTTCTCTTCTCTACGGCCATTTAAACTTCGGAATTTATGCAACTTGTCTGAGCATTCAGTAAACGGGGTGGGGAGCTGAAATCACACACTGCAGAGCTCAGTGAGGAGACCTCTGAGAACTGATTGAAGGGAAGGAATACACCCCCTTCATACAGCACACAGAGAGCTGAGACTTAATCACAAACTGTATGCTGGAGGTCCTTCCGCTGTCAACATTTTTCTCTTGGTGTCAAACTTGTCAGATGTGATTTATGCTGAAAGCAAAGGGATGAGGTAACAGACAGAAACTATATTTTGTGTTCTGGATTGAAACAAGCACACACTATAGAGGGATATGCTTTTTTCATGTTTCATGTCTGAGGTTTACAACCACTTTAATAAATATTCCCACACACAACACCACTGCCCATCTCAAAATCTATGAAGCAATTAAACTAATATGACTGGCAGCACAGACACATATGGGAGACCAGAGAACATCTGAATCAGGGAAAGTTGTTAAGCCCTGGCATTAGTTGAAAATGTCTAAAATAAAATGCAACAAAGGATTTATTTCTCTTGGCAAAAGCTTGTAGAAATGATGAATAGCGCCCCCAATGTGTTATACAGCCATTGCTATTTGCTTTTTTTGGCTTTGCAAACATTTTAATAATAATTCTCTTCTTGAGTCCTAGAACAATAGCAATGTTCTTATTTGGGTCCTCAGATTAAAATGTTTAAGAGTCCTTGCCTAGCACTATATTAACCGCTTCCACGCTGCCCTGTAGCAGAAATTCTGCTACAGGGCAGCATGGGTGCGCAAACTCACACCGACCTGCTGGTGCCGTGATTTGATCCCCAAAGGGCTCAACCATCCGATTTAGGCCAGTGATGGTCGGCCTAAATTGGATGATCGATCCCTGTCCTATAAGGGATCTTCCTGTACCTGTGTTTACACTTACACAGGTACAGGAAATTATGCAATCTCCTCTCTCTGGGCTCCCAGAGAGAGAAGAATCAAGACACAGTGAGTAAAAGCAGCACATTTTCATAGTTAGAACACTAGATCACCTAGATCACTAGACCCCTAGATTAACCCCCCCCCCCCCAGTTACCGTATTTTTCGCTCCATGACATAGTACAGGAGATGACCAGGTACTGCGGACACAGTACAGGAGATGACCAGAGACTGCACACATAGTACAGGAGATGACCAGAGACTGCGGACACAGTACAGGAGATGACCAGAGACTGTGGACACAGTACAGGGGATGAACACAGGCTGCGGACACAGTACAGGGGATGACCAGAGACTGCGGACACAGTACAGGGGATGACCAGAGACTGCAGACAGTACAGGAGATGACCAGAGACTGCGTACACCGTACAAGAGATGACAGAGACTGGGGACAGTACAGGAGAAGACCAAAGACTGCGAACATAGTACAGGAGATGACCAGAGAATGCGGACAATACAGGAGATGACCAGAGACTGCGGACATAGTACAGGAGATGACCAGAGACTGCGGACATAGTACAGGAGATGACCAGAGACTGCGGACATAGTACAGGAGATGACCAGAGACTGCAGATATAGTACAGAAGATGACCAGAGACTGCGGACACAGTACAGGAGATGACCAGAGACTGCGGACACAATACAGGGGATGAACAGAGGCTGCGGACACAGTACAGGGGATGACCAGAGACTGGGGACACAATACAGGGATGACCAGAGACTGCAGACAGTACAGGAGATGACCAGAGACTGCGTACATCGTACAGGAGATGACCAGAGAATGCGGACAGTACAGGAGATGACCAGAGACTGCGGACAGTACAGGAGATGACCAGAGACTTCGGACATAGTACAGGAGATGACCAGAGACTACGGACAGTACAGGGGATGGCCAAGAGACTGCGGACAGTACAGGAGATGACAAGAGACTTCGGACAGTACAGGGGATGACCAAGAGACTGCAGACAGTACAGGGAATGACCAGAGACTGCAGACAGTACAGGGGATGACCAGAGACTGCAGACAGTACAGGGGATGACCAATAGACTGCAGACAGTACAGGGGATGACCAGAGACTGCAGACAGTACAGGGGATGACCAGAGACTGCAGACAGTACAGGGGATGAGCAAGAGACTGCGGACCTTTGGGGAGGGAGGGGGAATGGGTACCTGAATTTGATAGGTACCCACTCCCACTTCCGTGGAGTTGCTTACAGCCGGGTGTCCTCTGTGCATGCGCGAGAAGCGCTGTGCGTTGTGATTGGTCTGGAGTCTTCTGGGACCTGTCATGTGTCCCAGAAGATGCTGTACCATTCACAAAGTGCAGCGCTTCTCACGCATGAGCAGTGGGCACCCGGCTGTCACAGCAGGGTGCCCACACTAAAGACGCCAGCGCCAGAAGACTGTACAGCGCTGGACAGAGGAACAGGTAAGTTTCTGCTGCAGAGAAGAGGCGAGCGGCCGGCCTGGTATTCTAACATGGTGGCGGCGGAAATACCGGGCTGACCGCTCTATATTTGCTCCATAAGACGCACTGACATTTTCCCCCTTTTTTTGGGGGAAAAAAGTGAGTCTTATGGAGCAAAAAATACGGTAATTCCTTTATTGCCCTGTCACCAGTGTCATTAGTACAGTGACAGACGTTTTGCTGATCACTGTATTAGTGTCACCAGCGACTTCAGATAGCGTTAGCGTCAGTTAGCATAAGTTAACTCCCCTCCCAAATAGCTTCAGATTGCCAGTAATCACATTTAACCCCTTGATTGCCAGGAACGGCAGTGTTATCGGGATCAGCCCCAGAACTTGCCAGCACCTGTGTTTAGCCCCTATGCTTACCCACCTCCCCCCCTACCCCAGCAAGTGCAATGTCAGTAGGTCACTGTCACTTTATATATTTCACACAAAACCGCAGTGTTCACAGAATCAGGCCTGATCTCTGTTAGCATTTGCAGGTACATTTTTTGTAGTGGTTCAAGCAGTCCCTGACAGCCAGGTGCTCTTTTTCCTGTGAGTCACACTAGGTACCTATAAATTTAGTTGCCAAAATGTCAATGGAAAGGTACTCTATTGAAGAGGCCTACAGGATTCTGAGCATGTCAGATGAGAGCGAAGGGGAAGACTCACTGACACAATCAGCCTCAGAATATGCACCTGTAGACAGCAGCGGCACCCTGACAGATAGCTCACACCATGGGGAAGAGGTCCCTGCTAAGGTCAGGTGTACCCAACCCCGTTCCCAGGTTGCTGAGATGTTACAATAGCATGATGACTCTCAGCAGCAGAGTGCCAGTACTAGCACTGCTCTACCTTTTGGTTAACTGGTGAGCACCAACGGCCTAGTACATCCTGGTCTTTCACATACCAGCACTGCAGTATCACTTGATGACATGGCAAGTCCCATAAGTGCAGTACAAGCTGGTGCAGTAGCAAGCACAAGTATTGTCCGGCAACCACCAAGAATTCGCACACAGGCCCATAGAGCCCCTAGTATCCTTCCGGATGTACTTGTAAATCCTGATTGGCAGCCCCCAAATTCTGCAGCACCCGTATTTCCCCCATTCACTGCCAACCCAGAATTCAGGTGGAAACAGCAAATTTAAATACTCCCCTTGATTTTTTGGAGCTGTTTTTCACGGAAGATCTGTATGCGTTGATTGGTTATATGCACAACAGTTTATCGCCCCCAACCTAAATTCAAACCTTGCCAGACTATTCGCATGGAAACCCATTACGATTTCCAAATGTAAAGTTTTTGGGGGCCTAACCCACAACATGGGCATTACTAAAAAAAATTAATTGTGGTTATGTTGGTCCACAGACCCGATTCATCATATGCCCGTGTTCTCTGCTGCCATGGCCAGGCATAGATATGAGAAAATAATGCATTTTATGCATTTCAACGACAACACACTCAGCCTGACCCTGAATTGGACTGTCTCCACAAAATGCGACCCTTGTAAATCACCTTAACCAAAAATTTGCAAATGTCTATACTCCCCAGCAAAACATCTGCATTGACGAGTCCCTCATTAATTTTTCTGGCCGCCTTGCATTCAAACAATTTCTCCCCAGCAAGTGTGCCAGATATGAGGGCAAAATGTATAAGAACTGTAAGAGGGCAACAGGCTATGCATATAAGTTTCAGATTTATGAGGGAAGAGATAGTCATGTGGAGCCCCCCGGATAACCAGACTACATGGGGAGCAGTGGCAAGATAGTTTGGGACTTAGTGTCATCCTTTTTTCCATATGGGGTACCACTTATACGTGGACAAGTTTTATTCAAGCATGCCACTCTTTAGACATTTGTACAATCTTGGAATTGGTGTATGTGGCACTAATCGCCAGGGCTTCCCCAAAGGCTTGTAAATACTCATCTTAGTAAGGAGGAAAAAGCCTGCTTGAGAAATGAGGAACTAGTCGCAGTGAAGTGGAAGGACAAACGGGATGTTTTCATCCTGTCTTCCATTCACCCAGACACGACCATCCAAATTGCCATGGCAGCTGGTGTTGTTGAGAAGCCCCTCTGTGTCCACGACTATAACCTTATCATGGGTGGGGTGGAATTCAACGACCATATGATGAAGCTGTACTTAAGTTTCCCAAAAAGTCAGATGCTGGTACAAAAAACTGTCTGTTTATGTATTTCAATTGGCTGTATATAATGCGTTTGTACTTTACAAAGCAACTGGATGAAGTGGACCCTTCCTAAAACTCCAGGAAGAGATTATCATGGCCCTTTTGCATCCAGAAGGTGCTGTGGCCCAAACCCCCAACCCAGATGCAGTTAGCCAGCTGCATGAGAAGCATTTCCCCAATGCTATTCCTGGTACCCCAACCCAAAGCACACCCCAAAAAAGATGTTGTATCTGTAGCAGATATGGACATTAGGCGTGAAACCCACCTTTTTGTCCCTCCTGTCCTGGCCAACCTGGTCTCTGCCTCAAGGACTGCTTCTGTCGCTACCACACACTAGTGGATTATTAGTATAGGGTACAGCATGGCACAGTTCAGCATGGTGAGTATTTTGCAAATCTTGTTTGTTACCACAAGTTTTTGGAAAATGCAGAAAGAAATCAAAAACATATATTTTTTCTTTTTTTATATTTCAAAACCTTGTGAGAAAAAATGAGATCTGCAAAATACTCAACGTGCCTCTTTTTAAATTCCTTGGGGTCATTTGGGGGCGGTTTGGTGTTATCCTGGCATTTCAGTGCTGGGTAAAAGTAGCAGAATGTATTTTGGGGTGTAATTCCACATATACCCATGGTTTGTGTAAACAATATATCATTAAAGTGACAAATGTGTGTAAAAAAAATATGTTTTTGTCATTTTCCAAAAACTTGTGGAAACAAAAATAAATCTTCCATGGACTCATTATGCCTGTTAGCAGATAGTGTAGGGTGTCTACTTTCCAAAAAGGGGTCATTTGGGGGTGTTTGTACTGTCCTGGTATTTTAGCACCTCAAGAAATGTGATAGGCAGCCAGAAAGTCAAAGCTGTGTAAATTCTATTATCTATATCATTGTTTGTAGATGATATAACGTTCATACAAAGCAATCAATACACACTTATTGGGGGTTTTTTAACAAAAACATGTAGCAGAATACATTTTGGCATACATTTATGCCGAAATTTGAATTTTTTTTGGATACTATTTATGACAGAAATTAGAAAATATGTTTTTTTGTGTTCAAAATTTTCGGTCTTTTTTTGTTCATAGCGTAAAAATAAAAAGCGCATAGGTGATCAAATACCGCCAAAAGAAAGCTCTATTTATGTGACAAAGGATATAAATTTCATTTATGTACAGTATTGCATGACCGCACAATTGTCAGTTAAACTAGTGCAGCGCTGTATTGCAAAATATGTCATAAATTGCAGTATCTATACCATAGATTGTAGATGCTATAACTTTCACACAAAGCAATCAATATACACTTATTGGGATTTTTTTTTACCAAACACATGTAGCAGAATACATTTTGGCATAAATATATGACTAACTTTGAGTTTATTTTATATTATTTATAGACAAAAGTAAAAAATATCATTTAATTTCAACATTTTTGTTCTTTTTTTGTTTATAGCGCAAAAAGTAAAAACCGCACAGGTGCCCAAATACCACCAAAAGAAAGCTCTATTTGTTTTAAAAAAAGAACATAAATTTTATTCATGTATAGCATTGCATGACCGTGCAATTGTCAGTTAAACTAGCGCAGCACTGTATAGAAAAAAATGGTGTAAATTGCAGTATCTATACTATAGTTTGTAGACGCTATAACTTTCACACAAAGCAATCAATATACACTTATTGGGAGATTTTTTTACCAAAGACATGTAGCAGAATACATTTTGGCATAAATTTATGACTAACTTTGAGTTTACTATATATTTTTTATAGCCGAAAACAGAAAATGTTGTTTTTTTCAAAATTTCTGTTCTTTTTTTGTTTATAGCACGAAAAATAAAAAGCACACAGGTGATCAAATGCCCCCAAAAGAAAGCTCTATTTTCATGAAAAAAAGTACATAAATTTAATTTATGTACAGAATTGCATGACCGCACAATTGTCAGTTAAACTAGTATAGTGTTGTATAGCAAAAAATGGCATAAATTGCAGTATCTATACCATAGTTTGTAGATGCTATAACTTTTATAAAAAGCAATCAATATATACTTTTTGGGATTTTGTTTACCAAAAACATGTAGCAGAATTTACATATATTCAACATATAGCACTATCCTTTTACAAATAAAATCCCCACCAAGTTACTAACACAATCCTTCCCCTGAAGTACAAATAACATCGAAAAAAATATATATAGTAAACTTGATTACCCTCTAATCAGTATTAGTGTATAAACATAAAGTCCAAAGCCCAAAAGAAATAGTAAAACAAAAAAAAAAAAAAATAACCATCCAAAAGAAAAAAACAAAAAGTCCAAAATAAAGTCCCAAATTATTATTTCAAAAAAAAAATCTTTATCTGTGATATCTTAATTCTTCATATCTTCCGAAATCTTTGTGATAT